CCAAAGTTTAATTAATTAGCATAAAGCATGTTAGACTTTTTGTTTTTTATATTGGAAACCCAGATAGTATTCACGTTGCATGGCTGACTAAAACGATTTTGTCAGTCGTTCACCTTTGCCAGAGCGAGATGTAGGAACCTGTCCAGCCCAGCAGCCTCAGTCTAGAGCTCTGCTGGGCCAGGCCGGGTGTGCCCCTGACCCGCAGAAGGCTCTGCAGCCTGAGCCAGCCAGGAGTCCTGCTGATTCTTCCACCAGAGCCTCTTCCTGCCTGCCCCTGAGTGGACCTCTCATGCAAGGAGTTTGCTGCTGAGCCGAGACAAAGACAGGGATTTTATTCAGCTTCCAGGCACAGGCTGATTGCGTTGCATTTTAAAAAAAATTGTTTACTAATCAATAAGGCGCAGGTGCACAATTTGATATAAGACTGATAAAAATGCTACCCTAATGCATATATATGTGTGTGTGTGTGTGTGTGTGTGTCCTTTTATCCTGAGACCTTGGAGGCTGTTACTATTTTACCAAAGTGAATGCATGATAATCCATTTGATTTAGACCAGTTCCCCAAGAATGGAATTAAGGCAACACAGAGCAGTATGGACAAGAATATGGACAGTGGTTTCTCAGGGTCTGGATGAATCCCAGAGCTATTTCTTGCTGGTTGTGTGGCTTGCTCAGCACACTATTTCTTCTCAGAAGCATGTATCTGTTGCCAAGGGCTGTTGGGAAGATCACATGGGCTCATGCCGGCAACATGGTTAGTACAGTAACTTAGGAAGTGTCCAGCAGAAGTGCTAATAAATATTAATACTGTTAATGAGTGGTTCTACATAACAGACTTTCAGGTGAATGAAGTTTAACCTGTTAAACATCATTATAAAAAGTAAGGTGTTTATATATATATGCATATATATATAAACATTTCTTACTTGCCTCATTTTAAAATATATTTATTTTTAAAGTTTTATTTATTCATTTGAAAGTCAGAGTCACAGAGAGAGGGAGAGATCTTCCATCCACCAGTTCACTCCCCAAGTGACTGCAAAGGCCAGGAGCTTCTTTCGGATCTTGCATGTGGGTGCAGGGGGGCACAAAGCACTTGGATCATCTTCTGCTGCTTTTCACAGGCCATGGGCACAGAGCTGGATTGGAAGTAGATGGGTTGCCAGCACTGCAGGCGGCGGCCTTACCCCCCACGCCACAATGCCGACCACATATATTTTTATTTTTAATGGGCACACAGTAATTGTACATATTTATGGGAAACAGAGTGACTTTTCAATACATGTATACAATGTATAATGTTTAGATCAGGGTAATTGTCTTATGTATCACTTCCCACATTTATCATGTGCTTGTGATGGAGTATTCAAAGTGCTCTCTGCTAGCTATTTAAAAATATTCAATTAATTGTTGTCAACCATGTTTGTCTTACTGGGCTAAAGAACATTAGAGGTGATTCCTCCACTAAGCTGCAGCCCTGTACCCGTTAACCACCCTCTCTCTGCCCCTCCTTTCTGCACGTTTTTCCTGGGCACTGGGGACCCCTGGGAACCACCATTCTATATTCGACTACTTTGATATCAACTTTAGCTTCTGCACGCATGAGAACATGTGGCATTCACCTTCATGTGCCCAAATTATTTCACTAAACGTAATGTCATCCATGCTGCTGCAAGTGACAGAACTTCCTCACCTCTCTTTCCAATGATGAGAGTCAGTATTGAGGCCGGCGCCGCGGCTCACTAGGCTGATCCTCCACCTTGCAGCGCCGGCACACCGGGTTCTAGTCCCGGTCGGGGTGCCGGATTCTGTCCCGGTTGCTCCTCTTCCAGGCCAGCCCTCTGCTGTGGCCAGGGAGTGCAGTGGAGGATGGCCCAAGTGCTTGGGCCCTGCACCCCATGGGAAACCAGGATAAGTACCTGGCTCCTGCCATCGGATCAGTGCGGTGCGCCGGCCGCGGTGGCCATTGGAGGGTGAACCAATGGCAAAGGAAGAAAGGAAGACCTTTCTCTCTTTCTCTCTCTCTCACTGTCCACTCTGCCTGTCAAAAAAAAAAAAAAAAAAAAAAAAAAAAAAAAAAAAAAGTGAGGCAGTGCTAACATCCACTGCGAAACAGTGAGAGCTCAGCTGTGTGCTATCAACATATGTAGGTTAATTTTGAGAGACGCTCCGAGGAGCTGTGGGACCCGAGTGTTGTGTGTTTGAATCAGCTTGGGGAACGTTAGTGAGTCGGTCGGCTTGGGCTGCCGGGCAGCTCAACAACCCTTAGGGAGGCTGCAAGTCTGAGATGAGGGTGCTGACAGGAGTGCTCTCTGGTGAGGTGTGAGAAGACCACCTTCTCTGTGTGCTCATGTGGTCTGTGCTCTGTGTGCCGTCACTCCTTGTGTCTCTCTTCTTAGAGGGACACCTACCCTTGTGAGTTCATTTTTAACATTTATTATCTCCTTAAAGATTCCATCTCCAAAAATAGTCACACCATGGGCTGGGGCTTCAGCCTAGAACTTTTAGGGAGCAGGGGACAATTCTACCCACAACAACTGGGTTTGAAATATGTTTCTTGGGGCTGGTGCTGTGGTGCAGTGGGTTACAGCCAAGGCCTGCAGTGCTGGCATCCCATATGGGTATCGGTTCCAGACCTGGCTGCTCCACTTCTGATGCAGCTTTCTGCTAATGCACCTGGGAAAGCAGCAGAGGATGGCCCAACAGCTTGGGCCCCTGGACCTATGTGGGAGACCCGGAAGAAGCTCCTGGCTCTTGGCTCCAGCCTGGCCCAGCTCTGGCTGTTGTGGCCATTTGGGGAATGAACCAGTGGATGGAAGGTCTCTCTCCTGTGTCTCTCCTTGTCACTCTCCGTAACCATGTCTTAAAATAAATCAATCAATCTAAAAAAAAAAAAAAAAACTGTTTCTTTGTTATAGTACTTCATATCTCAAAGAAACTCATTGAGACAACCCATATCTCATACTGCTTCCCACACTTACTTTTCTATGAGATTCTGTTTTAAATTTTTTTTAAGGATTTATTTATTTATTTGAGAGGTAGAGTTACAGACAGTGAGACAGAGAGACAGAGAGAAAGGTCTTCCTTCTGTTGGTTCACTCCCCAGATGGCTGCAGTGGCCAGAGCTGTGCTGATCCGAAGCCAGGAGCCAGGAGCTTCTTCCCAGTCTCTCATGCGGGTGCAGGAGCCCAAGCACTTGGGCCATCTTCCACTGCCTTCCCAGCCCACAGCAGAGAGCTGGATTGATAGAGGAGCAGCCAGGACTAGAACCCGAGCCCATATGGGATGCCAGCGCTGCAGGCAGAGGATTAACCTACTGCGCCACGGCGCCGGCCCCCAGTTTTAATTTTTTAAGAGATCAAGAGATCATTTTTAAGCTCACTCCTGTGTGAGCTTGTGTGTGCGCTGTGGGGTGTCCTCAGAGGCCGCTGGGGCGGGCAGGACGGTTCTCCAGGAAGCATTGGGTTTATTCCCACCTTCTTGTTCCAGTTTCGATGTTGCTTTTCGTAGGCACCTCCAAGCAGGCCAGTGAGGCGGCTGCTTTCTGTGCATCCGTGAACTTGTCGCTCGCAGCCTATTTTCTGTCACGGTGGCTGTGATGGCCACTACTTATGCTCAGATGCCCTTCCAGAGTTTCCCGGGAAAGCTGAGGGAGGGTGTGTGACTGTAAATATTAATAAGTGGCATGTCATTGTACATTGAAAGCAGTTCTCTCCCTCCCTGAAAAAAAAAATGGTAATACTAGACTAGTGTGCTCTTGGATTGACATTGCTGTAATGTGACATGCTCATCTGTATTCATGCAGAGCTTCAAAACAACCACCCTAGCCTGCAGAGGCTTCTAATTAAATAGCTGGAAAAACCATCTACCATTATCTCATTTGAACTTTCTGTACTGTAATTGCTTATTTCCTCCACTGCTTCTTATTCTTTTTAATGCATAAATAAAGCCTTCAGATTTTAATTTTCCTGTGACTATTTTTTACCCATAAATAATATTATTGTTGACATTTCTTTCGTCGGTTTGCTTAAAATAAAAGTTTATTGCGTTATCTTTCTGATGCAATGTTTAAAGGCAAATTACTATAATTCCCCATTATTAAGGAATTATTACTAATAAACATTGTGATTCACTGCTACAAAACATTAAAGCATGTAATTTTCTCCTGTGTGCTTAGCTTCATTAACAAATGCAGGGCTTCATTATTATTTGGTGGTTGTATTTGGGAACATCATTCTCTTCAGGCAGGATGCTGTTTTGGAAATGTGGTCTCTGGAGCAGTAGAAGCCACTTACTAGCTATTGGGCCTTGGGCAATTTATTGGAAATCTAGAATATATGTTTTTTAAAAATTTATTTATTTATTTATTTATTTGAAAAGCAGAGTTACAGAGAGGCATGGCAGAGAGAGACACAGAGAGACACAGAGAGAGAGAGAGAGAGGGCTTCCATCTGTTGGTTCACTCCTCAAATGGCCTCAGTGGTTGGAGCTGGGCCAATCCGAAGCCAGGAGCCAGGAGCTTCTTCCAGGTCGCCCACGTGGGTGCAGGGGCCCAAGGACTTGGGTCATCTTCTACTGCTTTCCCAGGCCATAGCAGAGAGCTGGATCAGAAGTGGAGCAGTCAGGACTTGAACTGTCACCCATTTGTGATGCTGGCACTGCAGACTTGGGCTTTAACCCATTGAGCCACAGTGATGGCCCCAGAATATACATTTTAAATCTGTATAATGATACTACCTTAGTTTAGGAGTCATGTGATCACAAGGATGATAAACTCTTTTAAGAGAGTTGAAAACAGGTGAATTTTTCTCTAATCACAAGATATCATTTGACTACTTGATTCATTCATTTAAACATCTTAAGCATCCAATATCTCCCAAGCACTATTCTATGAATAGTGGGAATAAAAGCAAGCAAAATGCCTTTTGTGGTGGAACTTGGTGCAGGTGAGATAGATGGCACCTGTGAGGCCAGGCCGTGGGAAGAACTAAAAAGACAATAGGACGGAGGAAGGGCAGGGCTGCTGTGCAAACCAGAAAGGACACTCCTTCCTCTGGATAGCTTATCATTGGACAACGTCTTAATTTCTATGCAAATATTTGGTGATTATGATGTGAGTGCTGCCCCCTGGAGTTGTGTAGCACACTTCCTGGAAGACAAGTGGGAACTCCTCAAAGGAGAGAATGAAGGCAGCAAAAGTGCTACTGTGGGTAAGTTAGCCAGGGAAGGCCTCATAAGGTGAGACGTGTATAGAGATCTGGTAAAGTGAGGGAAGAAGGCTGGCAGATGTCTAGGGAACAGGCACCCAAGGAGAAGAAACCTTAAGCAAAAAGGCCCTGGGGTGCACGTGTGAGTGATGTTCAGTGAGAGGGCTGAGTCGGCTTCATGTTACTGGCATCAGGGAGACTGATACGTGGTGGAAGAGCTAATGTGGGATGGGCAATGGAAGAGTGTCACTCCTCCGCGAGCAGAGGAGCAGCACCGGACCAGACGCTGTTCTCTCTCCCCGGTCCTTCCCGGATTTGCTGCCGCTCCCCCGCCTCCGCGGAGCAGCGGCACCTGCGAGCTCTCCGACCAACTCTCTCAGGGGGGCCCGCGTGTTGTCTCTCTCCCCCTTTTAAGGGGTTGGGTCAGGAATCAGCTAATTGACGAGGCAGCTGTGTAAGATTTGTTTACTCTCTCTCAGCGACATATGACAGGAGATCAGATGCATAGAGTTAGTCTTAATAGTCTCAGTGGTCTAGTCTCGGTAGTCTCAGTACTTATTTCGCCATGTTGCGGGAGACAGGTCCTGCTCCCCACAGAAGAGGAAAGGGGAAGGGAGGGGGCAAACCACGTAGGGGTCAGTGGGCTGTGATGAGAACCAGAGAGGGAGCAGGCAATCAGAGTGTTCTGAGCAAGGATTATAGCAGGAAGCCAGTTAGGAGATTTCTGACATAAGGCAAGACAGGTGATCATGGTTTGGACCAGACCTGTAGTTGTGTAGGTGACATGCAAGTAGTGGAACTGTGCACATTTCATAGGTAAAAACCAAACCATTAAATGGGAGTGTATGTGAGACAGAGGAACTTGGAAAGACTCCCATGTTTTGGGTCTGAATGACACAGAGGCAACAGTGGCCATTACTGAGTGAGGGAGACTCCAGGAGCAGGTGGAGTACAAGATCAAGTGTTTGGTTTTCAAGGTACGGAAGTTCCTGCTGGCATCCTAGTGGAGACCATGAGCAGATGATTGGACGTGGAAGCCTGGAGGTCAGAGAAGAAGACATCGGAACTAAAGGAAATCAAGAGAAAAGCCTTATAGGGAGGGGTTCCATCGGCATAGTCAAAGCTTGGCTGTGTAGTTGGATCTTTGGAGACTTGAGCCCCAAAAGCTCTGACTTTTCATACTCAGGGCCAGGTAGGCCTACATGCAGTCTCTTTCCAAACCCACTGAAATGTCCTCTCTTTTTTTTATTTTTACCTTTAGTTAATATTACCCAAAGAGGGACTCTGTGGGGCCCAGTTTGTCTCCTACCTTTCAAATGTCAACTGCACATTGGTCCTGGATCAGCTGTCCATTGCACAGGAGTCACCCCATGTCCTGTGAGCGGTGACTGGTGGCAGAGGCGGCAGCCACTGGCACAGACCCTGGGTTATGGAGCTATTAGGAAGGAGAAGAAAATAACCTGAGAAATTGCCTTGCTGAGAGCCTGTCCCTGCTTTATTTTTTAATTTTTAGAAGATTAATTTTATTTATTTATAATAGAATTACAGAGAGAGAGGGGAGTGGGGAGAGAGAAAGAGAGAGAGAGAGAGAGGATCTTACATCTGTTGGTTCATTCCACAAATAGCTGCAATGGTGGGACCTGGGCCAGCCTGGAGCCAGGAGCTACTTCCAGATTTCCCATGTGGATGCAGGAACCCAAGCACTTGGGCAGTCCTCCACTGCTTTCCCAGGTGCATCAGCAGAGAGATGGATCAGAAGTGGAGCAGCCAGGACTCAAACTGGCACCCATATGGGATGCTGGCACTGCAGGCGGAGGCTTACCTACTGTGCAACAGCTCTGCCCCTTTTTTGTACTTTTTAAAAATTTATTTTATTTATATAAAGGTAACAAATTTCATACACAGTGTTAAGAGCATAATGATACTTTCCAATCTACCCTCTTTTCCTCCCTTGCTCCCACCTTCCCTCCTCTCTCCTTTCTTATTTTTCTATATTTTTCAATTTACTTTAGAATCACAAGTTTAATCCTCCACTAAAAAAGAATTCAGCAAGTAGTAAGTAGAAAACCACTGTTCCTCAGGAGCATAGACAAGGACTATAATCAATAACCAAATCTTAAAATGTCAATTTTACTAATACATTATATTTTTTGTATTCTGTATATTGGTTAGCACATATTAGAGGAAACGTATTTGTCTTTTGGGGCTGGGTTATTTCACTAAGCATAATGGTCTCCAGTTGCATCTATTTTGTTGTGAAAGACAGGATTTCATTCTTTTTTATGGCTGAGTTGTAGTCCATTGTGCATATAAACCACAATTTCTTTTTTTTGTTATATAAATTTTTTCCTTTTTTAGAGAGAGAATTATTTTTTAAGATTTGTTTTATTTAGGTACAGAGAGAGAGGGAGGGAGAGAGAAAGACAGAGATTGATCTTCCCTCTGCTGCTTCACTTCCCAGAGGCTGCAAAGGGCAGAGCTTGGCCAGGCTGAAGCCAGGAGCCAGGAGCCAGGACTTTCATCCAGGTCTTGCACAAGGCTGGCAGGGGTCCAAACATATGGGTCTTCTTCTGCTGCTTTTCCCAGGCATTAGCAGGGAGCTGGACTGGAAGTGGAGCAGCCTGGATTTGAACCAGCCTCCATATGAGATGCTGGCACTGCAAGTGGCTGCTTAACCTGTTGTGCCACAATGCTGGCCCATAAACCACAATTTCTTTATCCAATCATCAGTAGATGGCCAACAGGGTTGGTGGGAGTCTGATGTGTTTTATTTAATTCACAACTGGAGGGAAAAAATGAAAGACATAAATTTTCATGCTTGAGTACAGTCTAGGAGGAGGTTGTAGTTACAGAGTAGAATTTGTTTGTAGTTCTACCTGGTGCTCCTCTTGGTCTCCATCTTGCAAACATCACATTGTTTAACAAAGATTCATTTATTTATTTGAGAGACAGAGTGACAGAAAGAGAGAGACGGAGAGATCTTCCATCTGCTGGCTTACTCCCTAAATAGCTACAATAGCCAGGGCTGGGCCAGACTGAAGCCAGGGGCCAGGAACTCTATGCAGGTCTCCCACGTGGGTGCAGAGGCCCAAGCACTTGAGCCATCTTCCACTGCCTTCCCAGGTGGATTAGCAGGGAGCTGCATCACAAGTGGAGCAGCCAGGACTAGAACTGGTGCTTGGATATGGATGCTAGCACTGCAGGGGTGGCTTAACTTGCTATGCCACAATGCTGGACCACATAAATGTTTTTCATTCAAAAAGTGACCATTGCAAGAAGGCTTTTCCAAGTACTCCATAAATTCACATAGTTCCTGGGTTACAAGTATCTTCTCCCAAACCAAGAGATTTGTAATCTTTCAAGAATTAAAAATGTGCTGTCAGTTTATGAAAGGATACATGTTTGTTGTGTTTGGAAAATACAGAAAAATATAAAGTTGAAAAAGTCACTCATGAACTCATCACGCAGGAACAGCCACCGTGTAGCACTGTGTGGTATTTTCTTCTCTGTCCCACATTCGCATAAGCTCCGCACATCCACAGCTCACTGATAATCTGAATTTAATTAACTATTTTTCTATTTGGGGGATTTAAATTGTTTCCAATGTTTGCAATTATAACTAATGTTACAATCAACTTTTTGTATATAAACCCTCCCAAATATATGATTATTTCATTAGCGAAGATTCTTGGAGGTAAAATTATTGGTTCAAAATATATTTACTTATCTGCTTTAATATAACCCAGTTTGTATTCCAAACTAGGAGTTCCTGATGGCAAACATCTCTCATTGTCTTACCAGTTTTTAATCTCATTATTGTCTTAATTTGCACATCTCTGATTATTAGTTGTTGGTAATTAGTAAGGCTAATTGTATTCTAGTGTGTTTATTAGCCAGTTGTGTTTTCCTGAGAATTGTCTAATTGCATATGCCTATCTTTGTAATGCATGTCACTTATTTCTCTTGTTAATTTCTAACAACTTCTTTCATGTTGAGGGGAGTAGAGATGGGCCTGGCAGCAAGGATGACACTCAGAGTGCCTGCATCCCACATCAGAGTCCTTGGGTGTTAGTCCTGGCTCCACCTTCCTGATTATGTACACTCTGTCAAAGTACACTCTGGGAAGCAGAGGGTGATGCCAAAGTAACACATGGAAGATCGTGATTTAGTTCTGGGCTCCTGGCTTCAAACTCATGGGAGTGAGCTCGTGGGTAGGAGATCTCTTTATCTCTATCTCTCTACCTTTCAAATACAATAAAAAATTAACTAAATAATTTAAATAATATTACGATTTTTACTGTATTGCTTGAAAAAGATTTTCCTTTAAAAATCAATAGATTTTCATCACACTGTTAAAATACCACAAATCAGCCTCACACTGAGGAGTTCTTGTTTCTGTCGCCTGGCAAGTTCCAGTTCTTACTCATCTGCCGAACTGTTCCTTTTTCGGAGACATGGATATCATCCCCAAATTCCCTGATATCCTTGTTTTTAACTGTTGTTACCTGCTGAAACAAAGCAGCTGAATTTGAAACAAGTTCAATTTCATTTCCTTCAAGGACTAATTTATTTGCTGAGCCTGAGATATTGAACAACTAACACCTGGTCTCATCCAAACCCTTCGAATGTACTTTTCACTCAAGGATTTTCAGATTTCAACAAGAGATCCATTCTCTTGAATAACCGTGTTGTCAGGAAGTGAGTGACACGGAGCCCAGGGTAATCCCCTTGATTGTATTCTGTACCTGACTACAAACGGTCGGAGTTCCTTCTTTTTCTCCACCGTTTGTCAACCCGGAGCCTCTTCTTTTGATTTCCAAGGAGGCTGAGACGTACACTGATGTGGCAGGTTTCTCTGCAAGGTTCCTCTGGGAGCTGTGCACCTGTTCAGACTGATGTCTGTGTTTTCTGGAACACTGGTCGGCAGTCTGAATACTGACAGCAGTCTTCATTCATGCAACAGATGCAGCAAAACCAGATTTTCTTCTTTATTGCTTGATTTTAATTTTACTTAAGATATTTTCTGACAGATGTTTTAATTATTTTAGGTGATCAAATCTATTTTTGAGCAGTAAATACATTTAAGTCATATCTGCCCACCAAAGATTTCTTCCATTTAAACAATTTTATTTATTTATTATTTGGAAGTTAGAGAGACAGAGAGCAAGTGAGCAAGAGAGGTCTTGTCCTTACTGTTTCACTTTGCAAATACTTGAAGCAAACAAGCCAGGAGCCTGGAACTCAATTCTGATCTCCCACGTGGGTGGCAGGAACTGAGTACTTAAGCCTCTCAAGGTGTGTGTTAACAGGAAGCTGCAAGCTGAATTGGAGCTGGGACTGGATTTGAGACCCTCTGATATGGAATGTGAATCCTAGAGTCTTTACCGCTGCAACAAATGCCTGCCCCCTATCATTTCATTTGTACTTTTAAAAAGTCTCATTTTCCCAGCACTGCTTCATGAAGAAGTCACTTCTTCCCTTTTACTTTGCTTCGCATAGTTCGGTAACTAATACATCTGTTTTCCTATTAGACCGTGAACTAGAATCTTTAAACTCTGCATCCACAATGTGGAGCAGGTCTTTCTAACTCTACTCCACACAGGGTTGGGGGAGGGAGGACCAGAGAGGAATCTGTGAGGCTGCAACTCCAGCGTGGGGTTACATCTTTGTTCTGAGCTTGCGGGAATGATGTGTCTTACAGGGAATGCTCCGCAGACATGACCTGACACAGGTTCCACCGTAGACTCTCGGAGCCGGTCAGATAATCTGAGATCCCACGGTGAGTATGTTTCAGCCCCTCCCCAAATACCTTTACTTCCAGGGGGCTAGAGTGGCATGGCAGCTTTGCAGATGATACTGTGTAGACAAATCAATGATAAGGAAGGGGACGTTGTTTATAATTGTAATCAACGGCTGGCTTTGAAGCTGGGATGGCCAATCTTCAAAGCTTCAAAGTGGAGGCTGGTTGCGGAGTGGAACAGACAGTATTAAATCAGTGGTTTTCTGGAGCTGTTTTTGTCTTCTGGGAAGAAGGAATTCCTTAGGGAACCTTGCAATGTTAATTTTACCTGATGGTAAAATTTTACCATGGTCAGCAAATTGCGAATTGCGAATGTATCATAAACGCTCAGTGAATGCCAGAGGATTATGACTTCCTTTTCTTTTGCAGATTGTTATTCTTAGCAATTTTCTGGAAAGTATGAAGTAGAAAAACTCAATAAGGGCCTGGCGCCTTGGCTCACTTGGCTAATCCTCCGCCTGTGGCGCCGGCATCCCACATGGGCGCCTGGTTCTAGTCCTGGCTGCCCCTCTTCCAGTCCAGCTCTCTGCTGTGGCCCGGGAGGGCTGTGGAGGATAGCCCAAGTGCTTAGGCCCTGCACCTGCATGGGAGACAAGGAGGAAGCGCCTGGCTCCTGGCTTCGGATTGGTGCAGTGCACTGGCTATAGTGGCCATTTGGGGGGTGAACCAATGGAAGGAAGACCTTTCTCTCTCACTGTCTGTAACTCTACTTGTCAAATAAATAAATAAATAAATCTTTTAAAAAAAAGAAAAACAATAAAAGAAAAACTAGGGGCTGGTGCCATGGCGTAGTAGGTTAATCCTCCTCCTGCAGCGCCGACATCCCATATGGGCAACAGTTCTAGTCCTGGCTGCTCCTCTTCCAATCCAGCTCTCTGCTGTGGCCTGGGAAAGCAGTAGAAGATGGCCCAGGTCCTTGGGCCCCTGCATCCATGTGGGAGATGAAAAGAAGCTCCTGGCTCCTGGCTTCAGATCGGTGCAGCTCCGGCCATTGCGGCCATTTGGGAAGTGAACCAACAGAAGGAAGACCTTTCTCTCTATGTCTCTCCCTCTCACTGTCTGTAACTCTACCTTACCTCTCAAATAAATAAATAAAATCTTAAAAAAAAGAAGAACTTGTCCAGTGTATTTGTTTTTAACTTACTTCATTTTTAAAAATATTTTGGTTGAGAGTAAATCTAAATATGAGGCATCTTTAGAAAGTTCAAGGAAAATGCATCTTATGAAAAAACCATGCATGGATTTCAGAAGATTTTTGTGTGCAAATAAACTGGTCTTTTAATTCTGATATTTGTATTTTTAATGTTTTTAAAATAAAATAATTTATTCAAAAGGCAGAGCAACAGAGTTAGAGAAATTAAGGGGCGAGAGAGAGAGGGAGAGAGAGAGAGAGAGAGAGAGGCTCCATCTGCTGGTTCACTCCCCAAATGCCTACAACTGCCTGGGCAAGGCCAAGCTGAAGCCAGGAGCCAGGAGTTCCATCCAGGTTTTTGATGTGGGCTGCAGGGATTCAAGTACTTGAGTACATGTTGCCTCCCAGGGTGCATATTATTAGGAAGCTGGGTCCAAAGCAGAAGTGGGAATTGATACCAGGCATTCCAGTATGGGATACAGGCCTCCTGAGCAGTGATTTAACCTGCTGTGGGGTTGGTGCTGTGACATAGTGGGTTAAGCTGCCATCTGCAACATCAGCATCCCACATGCACTCCTGTTCAGTTTCCAGTTGCTCCACTTCTGATCCAGCTCTCTGCTAATGTGCCTGTGAAAGGCTCAAGTGCTTGGGCCCCTGCACCCACGTGGGAGACCCAGAGAAAGATCCTGGCTCCTGGCTCCAGTCTGGCCCAGCTCCAGCCACTGTGGCCATTTGGAGAGTGAACCAGAGGTTCGACGATCTCTCTCTCTCTCTCTCTATCTTTCCCTCTCTCTCCATCAATCTGCCTTTCAATAAAATAAGTAAATCTTTTTTTTTAAAAAAAATCTGCTGTGTATACAGGCTGCTTTTTAAAAAAATATTTATTTATTTGAAAGACAAACAGGATAGTAACTAATGAGACAAAGAAACAGAGAGAGATCTTTCATTCACTTGTGGTTCACTCCCGAAATGCCTGCAATAGCCAGGGCTGAGCCAGGCCAAAGCCATGTGCCTAGAACTCAGTCCTGGTCTCCCACGTGGGTAGGTTAGGGCCCCAAAATCTGAGCCTTTACTTCCTGCTTCCCAGGGTGCACACGAGGAGGATGCTGGAAACTGGAATTGAGAGGGGAGTTGGGACTTGAACCCAGGTACCCTGCCATGGGACATGGGCATCCCGAGTGGTATATATACATATGTGTGTGTGTGTATTTAAATATTTATTTATTTATTTAAAAGGCAGAGTGACAGAGAGGAGAGAAAGAGAACTTCCATCCACTAGTTCACTCCCCAAAACGGCTGACCAGGACTGGGCCAAGCTGACGCTGGGAGCCTAGAACTCCATCTGGTTCTTTTGCATGAGAGGTGGGGGCCCAAGTATCTGGGTCATCTTCTGCTGCCTTCCCAGGCGCATTAGCTGGGAGTCAGGTTGGAAGCTGACTCTGGGCTGCCGAAGTCACAGGAGGCTGCTTAGCCTGCTGTGCCACAATGTAGTGCCCCCTAAGTGGTGGCTTACCCGCCATGCCAAATGGCTGACCACACATACACACACGCTATTTTTGAAGCCTCATTTTGAATTCTTGCTTGAGCTCACACCTTGCTATTTTATCTTTTTTTTTTTTTTTAATTTTATTTGACAGGCAGAGTTAGACAGTGAGAGAGAGAGAGAGAAAGGTCTTCCTTCCATTGGTTCACTCCCCAAATGGCCGCCATGGCCGGCGCTGCGCTGATCCGAAGCCAGGAGCCAGGTGCTTCCTCCTGGTCTCCCATGGGGTGCAGGGCCCAAGCACTTGGGCCATCCTCCACTGCCCTCCTGGGCCACAGCAGAGAGCTGGGCTAGAAGAGGAGCAACCAGGACTAGGACTCGGTGCCTATATGAGATGCCAGCGCCACAGGCGGAGGATTAAGCAAGTGAGCCACGGCGCCAGCCCCGCTATTTTATCTTGTAGTCACCTAAGAGCTAGCCACAAAATTCTATTCTCATCAAAATCTGTAAAGCCATTTGTGTAGATAATTACTGCATCTTGCTATCTTTTTCTGTGTAGTGTGGGGCAGGCAGTAGAAGAACATCTACAACCGTGTGGAAAAAAATAGGCATCACGAAAGCAATTTGGCAAAGTGAGTGAATGCCAAAGGGGAAGCTGTGTGTCTGGCCATGCTGTGACTAGTCATCGTTACAAGGGATCTGAGTTACACGTGTCACAGGCTCCGAGCAGCATAAAAGTTATTTGAAAAGCAGCTTCTTACTGTGAAATCAGCAATTAGCTCTGTTCACTGTTCATATGAAAAAAAAAAAAAAACAGACACAAGAGGGTAACTAATGAGACCTCTGAGAAATTATTCCTTATTCATATCCTATGCAATCATCTACTTTTTCTAATAACTATTATTATTATTTTGCCCTATCTATTTTTAGTCTCAGGTATAATTTCATGTTTTTTTTTAATTTTCAAATTATTACAAAATACACATAATAGAATTTAAAATCTTAGCCATTTGTAAGTGTATAAATCAGTGCTGGTTAAGGATATTCATGGTTTTGCTGGGACTGGACCAGGCCAAAGCCAGGAGCCTGAAACTCAATCCAAGTCTCCCACATGAGTGAGTGGGATGCGACCACTTGAGCCATCACCTTCTGCTTTCCAGCATTTGCAATAGCAGGAAGCTGAAAGTAAAGCAGAACTGAGACTTGAAGCAGTTACGGGATGCAGGCATCCCAAGTGGTGCTTTAACCCACTGCACTACAATGCATACCCCAGATTTTATTTTTATTTATTTATTTATTCTTTTAAAATTATTTGATTTGTTTGAATGCAGAGTTACAGGGAGAGAGAAAAACATTGAGAGAGAGAGAGAGAGAGAGAGAGAGATCTTCCATCTACTGCTTCAACCCCCAAATGGCTGCAACAAGGGGGCTTGGGCCAGGCTGAAGCCAGGAGCCTGGAACTCCATTCTGGTCTCCCATGTAGGTAGCAGAGGCCCAGGCCTTTAGGCTATCTTCCACTGCCTTTGCAGACAGCTAGATTGGAAATGGAGCAGCCAAGATTGGAATCAGGACTCACATGGGATGCCAGTGTCACAGGAGGGGGCTTCATCCACTGCACTACAACACTGGGGGAGGGGGAGTGTGTGTGTCCAGCCCTATTTCTGATTCCATCTTCCTGCTAATACCTCGAGAAGCAGCAGTGATAGCTCAAGTAGTTGGGTCCTTGCCATTCGGTGGGTGACTTTGAATCAAGCTCCTCGTTCATGACTTTATCCTGGCCCAGCTCCAGCTGTTGCAGGCATTTGAGCAGTGATCAGTGGATGGAAGTTCTCTGTCTCTCTCTCTGCCTTTCAAATAAATACATAAACATTTTAAAAGTCTTTGGAACCTCAGGAATCAAATATCCATATCATACCCAGGCAAGTTTTTCAATTTCATGCTTGTTTTTGAGCTTGGTTCGATTTCTAGCTTATCCAAAATGTCTCTTAAAGAAAGTGGGTGAAAACACATTTTTCTTGTACACCTTTCTTGTTAGGGACCTAGGGACCAGCTACCGGATAGTAGGAAAGTTACCTTTCTTTCCTGTGCCTTGATTCCTTCTGCAGATAATGGCAATGCTTTGTATGTTACCAACAGCTGAAGGGAGCAATGAAAGCTATGCAGTAACACAACAGAAATGTGCTGGCTTCAGTGGTATTGTTGTACAATTGGCTGGGATTCTGCCTTGTCCCATGCGAATGATTATTTGGAAAGCAAACTTAAAAACTGAACAATCAAAAGAAAAGTCACTCAATGAAAGGCCTTGATAGAGTTTTATCTTATTTCAGTAAAACACTTTAGGAGGAGCGTTTTTTTTTTTTTTAAAGAGTTATTTATTTATTTGAAAGGCAGAGTTGGGGAGTAGGGAGAGAGAGAGAGACAGAGACAGAGAGAGAGACAGAGAGAGAGAAAGAGAATCTTCCATCTGCTGGTTCATTCCCAAACGGTCGCAGCCTCTGGAGCTGGGCTGATCTGAAGAAGCCAGGAACTTCTCCGGGTCTCCCACATGGGTGCAGGGGCCCAAGCTCTTGGGCCATCCTCTGCTTCCCTCCCAGGTGCAGTAGAAGGGAGCTGGATCAGAAGTGGAGCAACCAGGACTCTACCAGTGTCCTATGGGAATACTGGCTCAGCAGGGGGCAGCTTTACCTGCTACTCCACAGCACTGGCCTGCGGGGGGGTATTTTAAGTTTCTCTTCCCTATCTTCCTTCTTTCCTCCTTTCACTATGGCAGGGAACATGCTACTTACTTAATGTTAACTTTCTTTGGTAAATATCAATTTCCTCTTGATCACACCAATCACAAGTAACTGGTTCCTCTGCACATTTATCAGTAAGATCTGGGGAGTGCTACTCTGAAGTACACTCTGTTTATTACATTTAAAATGCTATAGCTAGTACATAAAATGCTGCTTTTTGCATCATTTTAATATTGCAATTTGTACTTCATAACATCCTGCACTTAAAAAATGATTACTTCTAATTTTCATTTAGAAATTTTTTTTTTGCTTGATTAGAGATTTGAGCTATGAGTACAAAAACTCTAGTGGGGTCTTCATTATGTGTAATACTTTCTATTCAATACTGGCTTAAATATTAATATATGGAAATATAGCTGCATCAGCTGTACCTTTTGATGTCAGAAGCATAATCAATGTAATTGGCTTAGTTTGTCCCCCCCCCCCCGTTTGTATTTCATATTATCTAATATCATTACAGAGTTGAGTACTGAGTGGGTAATCTGCATTTCAGAACTGCTTCTTGAGTAGTTATTACCATTGGTTTTGATTATTTTAATTCCCATTCACCCCAGGCAGACTCTCAAGCTGTGCCTTATTATTCAAAGAACTGCTTTCTCCCATTCAGGGAGGAAGTCTTTCTGTTTCTGTAAACCCATCAGCAATTCTTATCACGG